AGGGGCCACTGCCAAGAAGACCCAGTTTCTAGGTTTTTTTTTCTTCCGGACCTCTCTTGGAGTTAAGCCCCTCAGCCACGCAGCCTGGCTAGGAGCGGTGAAACAGGTAGAACTAGGTGGAAGAAGGCGCTCTGACACGTATCGAGGTCCTAAACTGTTTAGGGCTTTTATATGTAATCTTTAGCACCTTGAAATCGATGCAGAATGGGTGTTGTTAGCTATTATTTTGTGTGCAGTGATCACTGGTCCTTGTGTCTGGGTAGAGTTTGTTGACCTTTTTGCAGGCTGTATTTTTCAGTGCTGGGAGTCAGGCTTTGTTGAGTTTTAGACTTTCTTCTTTTTTGTTGAAGCTTTGCTGATGTTTGTGGATTTCAATGACTTCCCTGTGTATGAAGGAATTCTAACATAATGATTGCTGGTGTTGTCCAGTAGTTTTGTGTTTCAAAATAGGATTTCATGTCTAACTTGTTTCAGGGCATGTTCAGCTACTGCTGATTTTTCTGGTTGTTGTAATCTGCAGTGACTTTCATGTTCTTTGATTCTGGTGTGGATACTGCATTTTGCGGTCCCAAAACTGCAAGGTACAGTCAACCCTCAAGTTATGAACTTAATCCATTCTGGAAGTCAGTTCGTAAGTTGAAAAGTTCGTAAGTTGAAACCAAATTTCCCATAGGAATGCATTGAAATTTAATTAATGCGTTCCTAGGGAGAAAAATTAAAACAAAGTCACTTACCAGGTACTAGTAAGTGAGCCCGGCTCCTCACAGTACTTTGGTAGCAGCCATTTTGTGCTCTTCTCTGCTCCCGCCCCCTCCCCCCTCTCGGCTGATCTGCGCTGGGTCTCATCTCAGAGGCTTCCCCGGGCTTCCTCAGCAGGTAAAAAGGCAGTGCAAAAGCACCCAGGGAAGCCTCCGAAAGTGGTGCTTTGCCGCGGGGGGTGGGGAGCGGGGTGGTGGTGGTGGCATTATAAACCTTGGATTTATAAGTTTATTGGTTTTATTATTTTTAAATTTGTAAACTGCTGAGTAGACCTTTGGTCTAGATGGACAGGATAGAAATATAATAAGTAGTGTCACCTACACAGGTCTGATTATGATGAATGCAACTGATTTTTCTTTCTCACCTATACTACTGCCTGATAATGAAATATTAATACCTACAAAGATTTATTATTTATTTTATTTTATTTTATTTGTATCCTGCCCATCTGATCTAACAGACCACTCTGAGCGGCTTCCAATAAAAAAGAACATATACAATAAATACTAATAATATTACAAATAGACAGACATATATAAGAATACAGGGAATAATAAATAAAGAAGAAAATTAGGTATTGACAGGAGGGAAGGCCTGGACATACAACCATGTTTTTACTTGGCTCTTAAAAGTACCCAGCCGAATCGCCAGAGTAAGATTATTCCAGAGGCGAGGAGCCACTGCCAAGAAGGCCCTATTTCGTGTTCGTTCATTCCGGGCCTCCCTCGGCGTTAGGCTCCTCAGCCTCACCTCCAGGCTCGAGCGGGTGATCCGGGCAGATCTAGGTGGGAGCAGGCATTCCGCCAAGTACCGAGGTCCTAAACCGTTTAGGGCCTTATATGTAAGCATTAACACTTGATGATGATTTTTCTTTCTCATGTACTGGTTCCTGATTTTGGAGGGAGTAGGCTGATTGTCGGTTGTGTTGCCGTTGCTTTTTGGTAGCAGTTTATGTGTTGCTTAGGGCTTTTCAATAAATGCCAGATAGAAAATGGGGGGGGGGGGGATGAAACAAAAGGACCAAACTCTTTCATATTTAACAAAAGCACAAGTACATGGAAGATGTGAAGACAAGAGGCAAACATGAAACTTTTAGCTGTGCACATCCCTAACAACCAAAATACCATAGTTATCACACATTTTAAAATATGTTATTTAAAGTAAAAAGGTGGGTTGATAACTCTGTCAGGTGAGTAACCAGCTGTAGAACCAATATTTGATTCTCCACTGTGCCTCCTGAGAGAAGAGCCAGACTGTATAGCCTTGAGCAAGCTCCACAGTCTTAAAGCATTCTCAAGCAAAGGGGATGGTAAACTACTTCTGAGTACTCGACACCTAGAAAACTCTGGAAAGGTTTGCCATAATTCAGAGTCATCTTGTCATCATGTAATAATTACAGTGTTTTAAAGTAAAATCGTAATGCTTTATTCAAGCCTTAAATAAAGGTACACTGAAATAAAAATGTAGGCCATATCAAAAAGTTCACAGGTTGGGGGAGGACTACTACAGACTGTGTGTGTTCTCATGCAAAAATCTGGCATGCTCTAGATCACCTCTGCTCATGAAGTGATCCCTTTGATACTGTTTTCCCTCTGAAACAGTGTGACCACAGTTTCAGAATGCTAGGGCGAGGATTCGAGGACAAAAGTTCAACTATGTAACTGAAGGCTTATGAAAAAGGGGAGTCCTTTGACATTACCAGAATCTTTCTTAAGTATAAAGAAGAGTTCTGGGACTTGAAAACTTGCTCCTTTTCTTGGGCTTTTAAGGACTATCCTAAAGTATTTACTAGTGTTACTCTTGGAAGTTTTTTTTTTCACAATTGCCTACATTTTGTGCAAATGTAAGGCAGAAAGTGTCCTCCAAACAAACATCAATCTGGTAATACCAAATAAACTCTTAAAAAAGGCCCACAATAAAGCTAATTCATATGTTGACTAACAAAGGAAGTGAAGCTTCAGGCAAGCTTTCCCTCAGCTACTGGTTGTATGAGTGGGATGTTTAAATTAATGATTGCAACTTACTGCTTTGAACATGTTTTTGGTGTTGCTTTTGTTTATCATCTTCTAGTGTGGTATTTGTTTAATCATTTTTAGTATTTGTATGCCTACTGTTTTCAGCTTTAAATATTGTCTTTTAATTATGTAAACCTATGGCAAAAAGTAAAAGTACACAAACAAAACCAAAGGAAACAAAAGACAACTAGGAATAGAACGATGGAGCATCTCAGAATAAGGGCTATGTATAGAACACCTCTAGTACTGTAATAAGATATTGAAAGCAGCCCTTTTTGTCTTTCCCCATAACACCTAATATTTAGGCATATGGAAAGTAATCCACCTTTGAATATCTCTACAGTATTATTCTTGAGAGTTGCTGACTAGAATCATTGAGCTACAAAGATGATGGATGTTAACCTCATCTTCTGAGGTTTAGGAGACTGATTACAGAGGTGATGGTAATATGGTTAGTATGGCATGATAAAAACATTTCCATCTACACGTAAATTATTAGATAAAATCCCAGGACTCTCCAACTTATTTTCCAGCTTTTTTTAGGGGGGGGGAATACCCTAGAATCAGTTTCATTTGGAACTATACGTTTATGACTTACTATGTTACATCAAAAGACACATACTTATTCCCCCTCCCCCAAATTCCTGAATGCCAGAATAAGACCATTGAAAAGAAAGCAGAATCAGCATCTAGACGAGATGGGGGTGTTCGTATTCGAGTATGAATATCTCCCCGCAGGTGGAAATAACGAGGGTCCAGCCCCATGGAGCCCGACCGTCCACTTGCTGCTCGACTGCTGCCATGGGCGCAGCGGCGTCTTCCTATCGCACTGTGCTCCGCAATGGATTAGCCACTCCTGGCTGGAGGCGGCATGACGAGCCTCTCTGCCAGGTCGCACAGTGGCTAATCCATTGCGGGGCACAGCGTGATAGGAAGACGCTGTTGTGCCCATGGCAGCAGCTGAACAGTGAGTGGACAGTCCGGCTCCATGGGGCTGGACCCTCGTTATTTCCACCTGTGGGGAAGATATTCATATTCATCTACGAATACCCCCATCTCTAGTAACCAATATTGTACAGATCCTGACCATGAAATAGCAATGTTCATTTCTGAAAGTACTTATTAGACACAAATGATGGATATACCCACCCTGTCCTCATCCCTTCACACATTTTTAATTATATGTTTGCTTTATTTTTTTGAAACAGAACCTGACTATTCATAGATGCACATGTTTACTAAACCTAATCTGTAGCTTAATTTCAATATTTCTTTCATGTTTATTATGAATGGTAAGTATTCAAACTCTTGAAATGCACAGGTCTATTAAAACAACTGCAGTTAGGGATCAGAATATACATTTTCCCCCTAAGTTCAAAGAGGGTTTCTATGAATATCAATTATATGCTAAATATAGAGATGTTGCTTAATATAGCAATCCCACTGAATCAGTGGGGATTTGGTGACTCAACTCCTCCATAATTTCCATTTATACAAATAGGCCTACTCTAGTTGTGACTTAGTTTCCTAAAGTATTTTGGAACTAAAGAAAGCCCATTTGAATCCATTAAGTTGTAACTAGAGTAAGTCTGTTTGAATCAATGGAAACTATGAAGGAGTTGACTCACCAAATCCCCACTGATTAAGTGGACTGATTGTAGTACGACTTACCATGCTAAACAACAGAATTTCAGCTACTGTTGCACTAGTTGGATCAGTCAATGCACCACATTCCATCACCACCTTTTATGATTAGCATTACAGATAAGGACAGAAAACACATCAAATGACTTCATCAGGACTGTTTTAAATGCTTTGTGGGGAAATGAATTATATTTCTCATCAGCCCAAGCAGCTTGTTGATGTATCTTTCTATTCTTGAAATCTGTTGCTTAGTGTACTTAAATCACATCAGAGTAGACCCATTGAATCTGTGAGGGTGTCATGAGTCAATTCCTCCATTTGCTCTATTGATTCAAATGGGCCAACTCTAGTTGCAACTTACTAAAGTAAATTCCAACTAGAGTAGTCCTATTTGAATCAACAGAATTTACAGAGGAGTTGAGCTCACGAGATCTCCAATGAGTCAATGGCTCAACTCTAGTGTGATTTATTATGCTAAGCAACAGTATTTCAATCTATAAATAAGAAAAATCTCCAAAAATATCCATTCTAGGAGGTTATTATTCCCCCTCCCTAACACTGCACAGAAAAAGTAGCACCATCTAACTTAAGGTCTGAATTTATTAATAGAAAAGAAAATAGCAATTATTTTTGGTTAATAAAGAACACATACTGATATTTTTTATTTGTACTGCCCCTATTCTTTTTCCAATTAGATATTGGCAATAGTATTCTGTTAATTGCCACAAGGAATCTCAGCAAGAATCAAGAAAAATAAACTCTTCAGTCCAATGTAAATATATATGGAATGCAGGGAAGAATATAATTATGTAGTTGCAAACAAAGTCAAAAGTCCTTTTAGAAAGGAAACTATTTCATTGCCTCCTAATTTGGATTCTCCGTAGACTCGGTCCACAAATGATATAGGAACCTATAGAAGCAAACAGATCACAAAATCATTTCAATTATAAAAGCTTCATGAAACAATAAAAAAGAAAAGTACAGTACTTCATCTAAAAGTTTAATATTAAACTAGCATCATGCCCAGAAGTAGAAATGGGGTCAAATTGCTAAAATGCTGGTTTGTCCTGGTTCGTGGTCTGTCAAATTTGACAAACCAGAAACCATGAATTTCCTCCCCAATGAATCACGAATCGGTTTGTTGGATTTTTTTTGACAGTCTGAGGTTGTGTTTTAAAAAAGCTAACCCTGCCTCCTCCCCGTTGGCGCCTCCCTACCTTAGCTGCCATCATCTGTGCCCACAATCTGCACCACTGCAGCCGCTGTTGTCCATGGCAGCCTGCGCCACAGTTGCCTTTGCAGACACAATTCATCGCCACGCGCTACGGTGGCCTCCGCCGCCATGCTCTGCCTTAAGGGAATCTGGGCTGTCCTTTGCAAAGATGGTGGCTGCAGCTTCCCTGCCTAAGAGTAGCCACAGCCGGTGTCCCTTACAGCTGGTGATGAATGCGGAGGCCACTGCAGCGGGTGGTGATGGATGTTGGTGGCAGATGGCAGCAACAGCTAAGGTAGATAGAGGAAGGGGAAGAAGGACAGGCTGTTGAGGTGGGTGGCTGAGGGCTTGGCTGGCTGCCCATGGGTCTGCCAATCAGCTGATTGGCATGCCCATAGGCAGAGCGAGATGGCCATGGACACTCCCCCTCTCTTCGTATAGGAAATGAATAAAATGGACAAATATTTAAGCCCTTGTATTCGTTGGGGTCTCTGGAACTGACAAATATGAAGGGACAAATATTTAACGAATCAGCGATTTTTAACGAATATAGCGATGCATTTTTTTAAATTCATCTCCATGTCTACCCAAGAGACAATGTGCTTTCATGGGAAGTAATAAATGACAGAATATGTAAGGGATAGAGATAGGCACAACTAAGAAAAATGCTGGTTCTTGGTGGTTCATGGCTACCCACCCACAAACCACAAACTTTGCAAACTTAAAAAAAAAAGAATCATGATTCGCTTCATTTTCTAAAAAGATTCGTACTTGGAGCAGAGGGGTAACTAAAAACCCCACCTCCTCTGTCCCCTTCCCATTGCCTGCATTGCCGCCCCACCTTGGCTGCCTCCTTCCCCTCTTCCTCCTCTGCCCAATATTCCTTCTAATTTTCAAGAGCGCGGGGCAAAACCCTGCTCCTTCCAGCTGCAACTGGAAGCAAATGGGCAGCCCTAATTCATCGCTGTGTGACTATGCTGCTTAGAGGAAACATTGCATTTGCTACTTTATAGACAGCAGTCCAGCTTCCCTTCCAGGAACTGGGCCTGCTGTCTCTGAGAATGGCACACCTTTCAGTTGCCTGGCTTCCGTGCACCAGTCCAGCTATCTTTGCACATGCACATGCAACAGGGTCCCAGATGATCCGGACAGCACCTGGCTCCTGGAAGGCCACACTGTCACCACTGGGACAAGGAGGAAGGAGGCAGCAGGGGTTAGGGGACAAGGTTGTGGGGTTAAGGGGGCAAAAAAATGGGCAAAACCGAACCACTGAACCAAAACTTGTTTTTAAAATTTGTTGATTTGATTTGCCAGTTTTGACAAACCCAAATTGATCCAAACCAATGAAACGGATTTTTTAATGAACTTCCTGGTTTGTTTTTTGGTTCATGCCCATCTCTAGTAAGGGAGTTGGAGCATCAAACTTCAGAACCAGGCACCAAGAATTCAAATGGGCATTGTGCCTGTATACCTGTTGCTGCTGTTTAAGGCTTGTTAAATTCAACTACTGACTGTTAAAATTAGGAACCTGTTCCAGTACTGCGAGTACAGTACAAAGCCTTCGATAATTAAGGCTTTTCACATACCATGATGTAATCAGGATTTTCTTTCATCCCTAGAACATGAACTGAGTTTGCAAGCGCTAAAGAGAACTGTTCATGACAGGACATTTTGGAGGTCACTCATTCATACGGTCACCATAAGCCAGAAGTGGCTTGATGGCACATCATAATATCCACACATGAAGAGCAAAAAAGTCAATCACTAAAGTCGGAATTGTTGCCAGACTTTACTCAGATAGATCATAGGCTATGTAGCTCTCTTGATCTAGTGACTTAGGATTGTGACATAGTTTACACTATGTTGTTGGCTCAATTTCATACAGTGATTTTTATGAACACAAAAAATTCACATGGGTAGTTGTCTCACCTCAGACTTGAGAGATTCATCAAAGAAGTGCAGATTAAATACTAACTTTTTAACAGCGGTCATTACCAGCTCACATTTATAAGCTACTGAAAGTCAAGCTCTTCATCCCACTTCATAGCCATGCCATTTTTGACACAACATGAAACCAATTAGTTCTAGGCTGTTTTATAAATTATAAGCAACTGAGATCTTAGTGCATAGGTAAAAGTTCCCCTTGACATTTAGTCCAGTCGTGTCCGACTCTAGGGGGTGGTGCTCATCCCCATTTCCAAGCTGCAGAGCCAGCGTTTGTCCGTTGACAGTTTCCATGGTGACGTGGAGACACGGAACACCACTACCTTCCCACCAGACGTGGAGACATGGAACACCACTACCTTCCCACCATGGTGGTATGTATTTATCTATTCACATTTTTACATTCTTTCGAACTGCTAGGTTGGCAGGAGCTGGGACAAGCGACAGGAGCTCATTCTGTCACATGGATTCGATCTTCCGACTGATGGTCTTCCAACCTTGTAGCACAGGCTTCTGCAGTTTAACCCGCAGCGCCGCCACATACCTCACCACGTGCATAGTTCCTAACAATAAGAGGGGCTCATAAAAAAAGAAACACTAAAAATTACACTAATTGAGAATTTCCTCTGCCAGCGAATGTCTCTTAGAGTCAACATACAAAAATGTAACATGAAAAGTGAAAGGCAGTGGGGTTTTTTATATTTAAGATATTTATCCTACCTCTCCAATGGAATAACCCAGTTGTCTAGCCCGGACTATCATTTCCATCTGGAAAACGTATCCTTTTGAAACACACTTCTCCATTAATTTTTGTAAAACCTCTTTTCTATATAACCTGCAAATATATATGAAATTAAAACTTCTTGTAGCATTTCAGTACTTAAACTTTAAAAACAACCATATAGATCATACACAATAAGCACGTTTAACCCAACTTCACCTATATGTTTTACAACTCTGGTCCACCTTTCCTGGATCAGTTTTAAACTTATCATTAACCTGGCCCGTTCTCCTTCATGTCAGATTGCTACACACAATTTCAGAACAAACTTACCTGAAGCTTCCTGTTAAGTCAGATGCACCTGGCCGCAGTAGAACTTGAGTGAGGAAGTTGGCACCTCGGCTGCCAGGGAAGATACAAAGACTTGGTTAAGCATCTAGAATCTAAACTTGAAAATAAAATAAAATAAAATAAAATGGAGCCCATTTAATGAAGTTTCAATAGAACATAGACCTATGTTACCAGAGACTTGGCTCCTGGAGTGAAAAAAGAAAGCAATTCGGAAGGGTTTGCTCTTATAGGTCAAGTCAGGAAGACAACTTGGTAAAAGTTATTAAATTGTCCTGTCCCTCCTTGTGACTTATTATTTCATCAAACACCACTAGACAGTTTACAAAACTAAGAGGCCATCAATTCCCTGACTACAATTGGTGGTCTAAGAAAAAGAAAGAAAAGGGTATATTAACACATTAAGCATCAGCAAAGATGAAAGACTACTGTAGAACAGTACAAAAGAAAGATGGCCTTTCCCCATCATAGGACAGTAGTGATGACAGAAATAGAACTTCCTCTTTGGTATATCTTTTAAATGGATAGACAAACTCAGTGGATTGGGAGTTATCTACCCCTAGGACCCATTCGGGCTTCCAAGAACAATTTTTCTCACTTTTTGTGCTGAAAACATTTTGTTGGAGGCTGGGGAATTCAGCAAGGGCCAGCGAGCTGCAAGAAATGCCATGGGGAGTACATGTGATTCCCACAATGGTCTTAAAAGATACAGGAGTCACTTCAGAATCTGAATTTGACAGTCTATAAAGAATGGAACTTCTGATTTAAAGAAATGTACAACAAACTGTCACATAAGATACTACATATTTCTAAAATTCTGGAAATTAATAAACCTTAATATTTAGAATAGAAGGTGTACAGAAGATACCAAATGAAGGATTTTCCTATTCCAGAGTTCACATCCTATATCTACCCATATTGGTTGCTACTGTTAATTCTCCAAGATTTCACAATATTTGGAAAACAAAATGTTGAAACTGCACACTCTGAAAAACAAGGTCATAGCTGGTAGGGTAGTATCATGGATAAATCTACTTACCTGATCAATTTTCGTTTCAAATCCCACCCATGTACACCTCCATTTCCTTTATATCGTGTTCCAGACACAATATCAAAGTTACTTTCTTTCTGTGTTCTACAGAAATAAACATTGTGCAAGAAAGGAAAAAACAATCAAGTACAGCCAACAAAAATACATGGCATAATAAATGTGTTAAGTCTGTATATATGCTTCTGGACTGTTTATTGATTTTGCTTCAACAGACTAACATAGCTATTTCTTTGAAAATTAAGGCTAATCTTCAATAATGAATCAAAAGTGAATATAACTAGATACATTTACAATCCAGAGAAAGGTGGACAGACTGACTATAAAATTTTTTTAAACAAAGAAAAGGTATCAACTGGCTAAAAAAAGTTTACATTATACTGTGCTTCTACATATGCTCAGCAGTTAGGGAATAAAGCCATTATTTGAGGCTTTCTATGTAATGGACAACAAGCCAAAATATCAGAGTTTTCACACACAAAAAATAAAGAATCTTTCCTGTGGCTGAATGTTAACTATGTACTAAAAGCTTAAACAGAAACAATTACAAAGAACATCAGTGTGTTCTGCTTGCAGATGACACTGGCTTAAATCCATTTGCCAGTCCCAACTAGAGTAGACTCACTGAATCTTGAGCACTAGGATTAACCATACCATGAGCTTATTTTAATGGTTTTATTAAACAAGCACAGGACTGTCTTCTCCTTAATAATGATCATGAACTGGGCTTAGGCGGCCCACTTTTCCTATAAATATATGGATGCACAAACACACATTTATATTTTGTCTGCTACACCAAGGTTTAATTGCTCTGGCCAGTCCTCTTCAGAGCCAGTAGTGAGTAATGCTCTGTCTCAGAGATCCTACTTGATTGCTATCTGTAGCATAACAAAACTTTCACTTGCACAACGGATAGTGATTATCCCCTTGCACAAGTTCACACAACTGACTACTAAGAAGGAGAAGAGTTCTGCCCTCCACTAAATATGGCTCCTCTATTAAATAGTTTGAGGGGCTTATACATCCTCATTAAGCAGGAATCCTAGATAACATTAGCCAGTTGGTGCTGGTGCAGACAATCGCCAAAAATCTAACATAGTTACACAGAAAGCGTAACTTTTGGAAGCGAGTTGCCCAAAGCTAGGAAATCTCCAGAGATATTTGTTGCACGCCAAGTCACACAATTCATCACGAAATACATAATGTCTATGGAGATTTCTTAACTTGGAGCAATTCACTTCCAAAAATCACACTATTTCCATCAAACCAGCATAACTACATAAGAGGATTTCAACATAAGAGAGGAACTTAGTTCTGTTGTTCAACATGTAGCCTATGCCTAGTCTATCAAATATAAATAAAGGCAGAATACAAAGGCAGCCGCAGAATGATTTCAAATATTAGAATTACTACCTACCTGATAAACTTTGGGATGAATTTTGGCTGAAATACAAGAAAGGTGAGAGAAAAAGGAAAATTCAGTGCTAGCCAGACAAAATGAACTTCAAGAAACACACAAATATGCACAAAGGACAAACTTACGTGGTGTGAGAGGTCTGCATCCATAATAATGATGAAATTTCCTGTGGCATGTTTCATTCCATGAATGTAAGCAGTCCCTGATGTAAGAAAAAAAGAAAAGAAAAAGAAGTATCTCACCCACATTCATGATTACAGATATAAATGGATCTACAGTAAATGTCTTTATTTTTTAATTCCAACTCCACAGTTCCCTGTTTAATTTGATACAGGACTGCGCCTACTATAATAATTGTTGAAATCAGATTTGAGAAGGTTTTATTCCCCTATTTCAAAAGGTACCACTCTCCAATGTTCTTTGGTGCCTATTTTCTATGAAACAGTCAAATTTTGTTCTCAATACAAGTAATCATCAGTATGAAATTGCTGATGACCTGCATTACAAAGAAACAAAAGATTTAAGCTTTTTTTTAAATACTATGCCTAAAGAGCAAATTAAAAAAAACTTTCCAATGGATCATTATTAAAGCAACATCCAGATAACCTCCACCCTTATTGAGTACTTTCATTCCTAACAAAAATTATACATTGTAAACTTCTTTAAAATATTATTTCATATAATTTTATTTCATTTAAATTATAACCTTATGGTCCCTGGGAGGGCTGCCCATAGCTATAGGCATCTACAGGATTCTCTCTGTGCTGAGATGAGGATCTGCAATTGGATGAGTGAGCCCAATTACAGGTTGCCTCCTTGTTGTCTTTCCATCAGCACACAATGACCCCATCATTCAGACAGGCTTTTAGCAACTAACCATTTGTGGCTATTTCTTTCTTTTACGAGTGTGCTTAAATAAATTTGTTTGTAATGCTTTTATCCATACTTTGTATTTGCACTTTTTGACTGTAAGCTGTCTTGAGTTACACATGTGGAAGAAAGATGGGAAAAATCACATCAAAAAGCAAGCACCCACCACCACATATACTTTCTGTCTTGGCTGGGGTACGCACAGCAGGCCTTATATATGTTGGTGCTTCTCCACAGAGTCCTCCTGCAATATCTATAGGATAGTTCTTATACAACATGCATTAACTATCCTAAAAATAAACAATTGCAATTGAATAACTTTCTCATTGTACAGGAATTACTTTGCACAGAAAAGTCTTCAAGACTGATCTGCTCCTCTTCTTTATCTAAACATCTGCAAATTTATCAGAACACATTCACCATTTTCTAAGAGCAGACAATAATTTTTTCTAAGACAAAATTATTGACAGACAGATATAATAGACTAATGAAAAACAAATCTGATTTGTTGTCTCAAAGGCATAAAACTATTAAATTTTTCTTTCCCCAAAATATGTCCAAAATAAAAGCAAGTAAAAACACAGTTAAACTTGTAATTAAGCTTATGATATTTAACAAGTAAGCCATTTGAGAATGTACTTAAAGGTCAAGGTATAAATGTTAATAATAGATTAATGACTACTTACCCAATCCAAGTTTCTTTGCTCTGGGTCTTAAGAGCTGTAAAATACCAGTAAAACAAATGAGTACTAGATGTACTGTATTAAAATAGCTATAGTCACAGATCATGTATTTTCAATGAGCATCGAGTTTAGAGAATGGCACAAAATGAACCATGAAACAAAGAACCCCATGAATCAGGTTATTCTGTGGTTAGTTTCAAGGCATTTCAGAGAAACATACCTGTCCATAATGAAAAAAATGCCAAACTATTATTGGTGTTGGCAATTCAGATGCTTTGTGGTTTGTACAATTCAGGGCTTCCAGGAGTGGTAGAATGGCCCCCGCATGAGTTAGAGATGCAAAATTCACAGCAAATCTTCAGCTAATTCTCCTCCCCAGCCCCTCAAATTTGGCAAAGATTGGATTTGGGATGTCCGACTTCCCAAAGCAGGTTCCCCCAGGAAAATGCTCCTTAGCAGCTAAGACAAAACTAATAAACAAATGACTCACAATTTTATCTGATCCATAAATCTTTATCAGTTGCTGTGCAATTTCCTGAGTACCATCTGGGCTTCCGTCATCTATGATTATGATTTCAAACTCGTTTCCGCTGAAAGGATAATTAACTTTTAAATCCAATTCCAAAAACTCCAAAATTTCAAGAGATATTGAGAGAGAAGAAATATCAGTGAGTATTCATTATTAAATGCTATCAGTAATACTATCACAATTCACTTGCATCTCAAAACAGAACCGAATTGCTTCACAGTTCATTTTTAAGATTGACTATCTGCTTACTCTCCAACAATCATGTTAACATCTAGCCCCAAGATTTGAAAATACTCCATGCCACAAATTCCTGTTTTTATAGCAGCATGGAATGGATAGTTCTCTCCATGATGCTTTGTAATTAGAGATGGGGTATTTGTATACGAATACCCACACACAGGTGGAAATAATGAGGGTTTGGCTGCATGGGGCTGGACTGTCCACTCACGCTTTCACTGCTGCCACTGGCTCCGCGGAGGCTTCCTATCACGCTATTCTCCACAATGGATTAGCCACTCTCTGACTTAGCAGACAGGCTTGTCACCCTGCCTCCTGCCAGGACTGAGTAATCGATTGCAGGCAACAGAGTGATAGGAAGGCACCATGGAGTTGGTAGCAGCGGCGAAATTGTGAGTGGACAGACCCTTGTTATTTCCACCTGTCCGGAGATATTTGTATTCATATACAAATATCCCCATCCGGCGGCGTAATACTTTCATTTGTTAGATGCAACCCTAGACCCTAAGTATTTCACATTTAATGAGAATTGAGATATACTTCTACTGTATGGCTTGCTCCTGAATTATAATACTATTCCGGCTGTACTACAGCTTCCACATGAATCAAGCTAGTATTGCTGATTTTTCTTGTATTTTGCACTCTGTTTCAAACTTTGTAAAAGATTTCAGAACTTTTAATTGTATTATGTTACACACAGTCACTGCTTTTCTATAGCTTTTCTATAGCTTTGGTTTGATTTTAGCGAATTTAGCAAATTATTTATTTTATATGCTACAGCACCTCACTAGTCACAATGACAAGAAACAATCTGTGAGCACTCTTTGGGCAGGGTCTATCAACCTGTTAGATGGCTTTGTCTAGCCACCATTTTACTAGCTTAGCCACAAGACTATTATGTGAAGCCCCATAGAATGAGTTGCCGAAATCAAGATTTCCACACTCTTATCAAGCTTGTAATTCTCTTTCTCTATGTAGATATGTATATACACACAAACATATCATATTATACATATACACTCTTTGTGAGAGAATTGTTGTTTATGGAGTCAACACCAAGTTAGCAACATCTGCAAAGTGGCCAAAGAGTTAACATCAAGTTGGCAAAATCTATCAAATGCTCTTGCTGAGTGGCCTAGGCATGAATGTTTTGGGAGAATTATAACACCCGCACACCATCCCGAGATAAGCAAGTTGGAGGGAATGTCCTGACCTTGGTATGGGTGGGGGCATGGAGGTTTGTTGATGAGTAGCAGTTGCACCTGGAATGTGGTTAATTGTTCTTGGCTGGTATATAGTTGAGACCAATTAAAAGCTGCCTGCTGATTGGTGGACCTTTACAACAGTGAACTACAGGCTAATGGGATTTAAGGAAGATGGTTAGTTATTTTTGTTTCGCCCTCCATCTTGGATCACCACCAAGACTAAACAAGCTCATGTTTAAGTTCATGCTAACCACTAGGAATAACTCTGTACATGCCTGTATATATAGCGTAAAGAATCAGCTGTTCTTTATTTTTTTGGGTGGACTGCTTTATCAGGCCTTGAGCTCTGTAAAATCTGCTTATGCTACCAAAATATGTTTTCTAGATTCACTGCTGAGCTAATGGACCTTTTTGTCCTATGCTTTGTCATTTTTCCTTTTTAATAAAATTTTATTCACACTGTGGTTTATTTGGATAGCTGTGAGAAGGGGTTGAAGATGCCTTTTTCAGTGTCTGAGGGCACTTGAAGATCTTGAAGCATTTTGGGTTACTTTAAGTTCTGTGCAGGGTTGGTTTGCACTTAAGAGCAACAACCTGCTTGTGTGTATTTATTCCTTGAGCACCTGGATGTGGGAGACTCAGAGTGTGCTAAGGAACTCATGGGCCTCAGGAGGTTTTTCCCAACAGTTAATATGCTGGCCTGTTGGACAAAACCCAGCCAGGAAAAAAAGGCAGTGTGACTGAATGGTCAAACAATCCCCTCCGAATAACTTGTGGGTAAATTAAAGTTTTCCTCACACACTTATAAGAGTGAACTGCAAACAAATAAGCAACAAATATTCATGTATATAATGATTCTGACAACATCTATTTTTGAGAAAGTCATACTGCATCACCTCATTTTTTTCCTAAATGTTCAGACTGTAAATGTTCTGGGAGAATTCACTAAACAATCTTAATAAAGGTAATCCTGTTGAAAGATAAAGTGATCTGGTCATTAAATGAGTCTCAAATAGTTTCACAAATTCCTACACTTAGTTGACTATTCCTTTTTTAGATGCTTGACCACAGCCACTCAAAAATATCCTTGCAGATTGACACAAAATTCAGATGTCACTGCTTTAATATAAGTAGGTGGCAATTTATTCAGAGCTCAGCTTGAGACAACATACTTAAAGTCTGCACAGCAGAGTAGTCAAAAAAATTAGCAACTTGACTCTTCTGAATCCAAGCACTAGCTCCTGACAAGTCAGGAGCCATGAAAAAGGATTCACCCCATCATTTCAGAATGAGGTGTGTCTCAGTTAATGCCATGGGCTGTTTTGGGGGAAGAACAGATAGGAATGTACAATATCTGCACAATGAGGATGATAAGAAAAGAGCAATGCACATGCGCTTGACTCTATACAAAAATTGATTTAAATAATATGCTATAATCACTATATTATTTAAACATTATATGAGGACACCATGACCTAAAAGAATAGTCTTCAAAGTCTGTGCTGTCCTGAGACAGCCAATTCGCCTCCTTCCAAAACGGCCTTCTGCTTCAGGCAGGCTTTTAAGCAGTTGTCTCAGGAACGCTGATTTCTAACTTAGATCTGTAAATGTTTTTGAACTTGTTCTTTAAAATTTAATTTTTAAAATCTTAATATACGTTCATTTTCCCCCCAAATATATTTAGGTCATGTTTTAAAATCTCTGGCTTTACCTGTTGTGAGCCACCCTGCGTGAATGCCCTACTTGGAGAAAAAGCGGCCTATAAATGTGCTGTAAACCCTAAAAACGCGAGGCAAAGCCAGTCTACAAAAGTCTGGACCTCAGACTCCTCAAGGGGGGAAGCTGCCCAACACACACATCGCTTCTGCCTTCGGAAGGCAGACTCTGTAAGCACCTGACAGGGATGAATTACACCACGTCCTCGAAGCATCCTAGGAGACTCAAATCAGTTACAACCCCCCTCCCTTTTAAACTCGTTCTCTTAAGCAAAGAACTGCCACTCGCAACAGCGGCTGCACAAACGGAGAGCCGTGTCTTTACATCGGTCTTAACTAACCGCGACGAGTAGATAGGACGGATTCCTAAGGCGTCTTGGGGGATCCCGTAAAATCCCCAATGGGGAGGTACGTCAGGGAAAAGAACGGCTCTTTGTGGCAAAGCTTCTCGCTTCTCCATCTCTCTCTCTCTCTCCTCTCCACAAACACAGTTACCTCTCCTCGAAACTCCTCACCAGCAGCCAGACAATCAGCGGCAGGTTCTCGCGCTCGTTGTAAGTGGGCAGCAGCACCGAGTACTTGTCCGGCGAGGCCGCCATGATGGCAGCGGAAGCCAGGCCGCGACGCCTGCGTGTCAGTCAGCCAGCCGCCCGCCTGTGGGCTCTCGCTCCGGCCTGGGCCCCGCCGCGGGAAGCGGAAGAGGCGAGGTGTTCTCGTCTTTCCTCCCACCGGGGTCCCTTTAATTAAGGCCTTCCGTCGCCCTCGTGGCTCGGCTCGGAAGGAAGAAGGTGGTCGCTGAGGGGGTCATGGCGGCGGCGGCGGCGGGAACGATCCCTGAGGAGAACCTGGCCGGTGACGGACCGACCGCAGAGGCTGAGGGGAAAGCGAGCTCTGCGCTCCCCGGCCCGCGCCCGCTTCGCCCCGGGTTGACCCGCCTGGACGTCCAGCGCTATTCGCGGCAGCTGGTGCTTCCCGAGCTGGGCGTGCGAGGGCAGCTGCGGCTGGCGGGTAGCTCCGTCCTGGTGGTGGGCTGCGGAGGGTTGGGCTGCCCGCTGGCCCAGTACTTAGCCGCCGCGGGCGTGGGTCGCCTGGGGCTGGTGGATCACGACGTGGTGGAACTGAATAACCTCCACAGGCAGGTGTTGCACCGGGAGAGCCGCCTGGGCAGCTCCAAAGCCCAGTCTGCGGCCTCAGCCCTGAGGGAACTCAATTCCACGGTGGAGTGCGTGCCCTATGAGGCGTGCCTGAGCCCCAGCAATGCCCTGCAGCTGGTCAGGGCCTACGACATCGTTGCGGACTGCTCTGACAACGTGCCCACTCGCTACCTGGTCAACGATGCCTGTGTGCTGGCGGGGAAACCCTTGGTGTCTGCCAGCGCCTTGAGGTTTGAGGGGCAGCTGGTGGTGTACAATTACCTAGGGGGGCCCTGCTATCGTTGCCTGTTCCCCAAGCCCCCTCCGCCAGAGACAGTCACAAATTGTGCTGACGGTGGCGTTTTGGGTGTCGTGCCGGGTATTCTGGGCTCCCTCCAGGCGCTGGAAGTGCTCAAGATTGCCTCTGGGATAGGCACAGGCTTGAACCGGGCTATGCTGCTTTTCGATGCCCTGGAGGGAAAATTTCGTCAGATCAAGCTAAGATCCAGGAATCTGGACTGTGCAGTGTGTGGTGACCATCCTTCTGTAACAGGCCTACAGGATTACGAAAGTTTCTGTGGGTCTTTGGCAACAGACAAGTGTCGGACCTTGCATCTGTTGACTAGCGAAGAGCGAATATCTGTAGAAGAGTACAAAAAGTTACTGGACAGCCAGGTCCACCATGTGCTTGTAGATGTCCGCCCACCTGTGGAAGTGGACATATGTCACTTGCCACATTCCCTAAATGTGCCTTTAAGTAAACTAGAAGGAAAAGATGAGGAGTGTTTGAAGATTCTGTGCCAGAGGATAGATGAAGCGAAGCAGAGGACTAATGACAACACGACTTTCCCAGTTTATGTTGTTTGCAAATTAGGAAATGACTCTCAGAAGGCTGTGAGAATTTTGCAGAGATTGTCCCATGATGGACTAGGTTTAATATCTGTTAAGGATATCAAAGGAGGACTGATGGCGTGGGCCAGCAAAATTGATCAAGAGTTTCCTCAGTATTAATATTTTCTAATAAAAAACTATAATGTGTCTTTAGAGTTGCATTGATCATTGATATTTAATTTTTAATCTTCTCTGATGGAATCAGCAGCATATTAGAAATTCATTGTTACTGAAAAACCTTTTTAGCATTGACAAATATTTTGTATGCTTCAGAAAGAAATTCCCTTCCAAAGCAAGACAAGCTGTTTGTGTGTTCCCTTTTGAAAATATAGACATCTCTTACCAGCAATGATGATAGTCTTAAACTGGGGAAAACTATATAAATGTGTTAAGTATATGCGTTCTCCAATATTTTCGGCAACACTGAATACTGCAGATCAGCTGTAACAGTCTCAGAGTTGTGAATGATTCAAAACTGCCAGACAGGTTTTTCAGCATTTTGTCACTGGGGGATTTAAAATGTGACTCTTCTCTTTTACTTTTTCTAATATCTCATCTTCTGATACAACTCTGATACAACATGATTATGTTCTGTGCACCCTGAAATTGCCAAAGGAAACCTTTAATCAGCAGCAGTTTCCATAGCTGATGACATAATTTCTGTTGTGAACGGAGAGCTGCGTAACAGATTTTAGCCATTGTATGTTGTAAATCTCTGCAACAACCAACTTCTTCAATAATCTGACTCTTTACTCCTGATTCTGCCAAGTTGGTTATAACTGTCTTGTTATGTGCTGTCAAATCACATCTGAGTTACAGTGACCCTAATACGTTTTTTAAAGTAAGTAAGGCATTTAAGAAGCAGTTTTACCAGTGCTACCCCCTACTCCATTAAGTTTCCACAGCTAAGCAGAGATTCAAACCTAGGTCTCCCGAGTGTTAGTCCATCACTCTGTCTATTACACCACACTGAGTATTAGTCCATCACTTTGTCTATTACACCACACTGGGTACTAGACATGAGACTTTCATATCTTATTGACTACAGGTCCTACCTAGAATTTGTTACAGCCAGAATTCTGGGAACTAGTGCCAAAAATTTTAAGCCCTTACAGGAGTTTTCAGTAAGCTCAATTCAGCATCTCCTGCAGAGCCATGCTGTTGCTGTGATGATGGGGAAATTATCAAGAGCAGCTAAGCTCCAGAAGAACTCCAAGGCATTATGGGACTGGTAATGTTATGAGAGGCACCCTCTCATAGTGGTCAGGGAGACTACCAGATTACTGCTATCTTGTGTAGCACACAGCATGGCCTTTCCCCATTGCACTCTAGAGCTATGCTCTTTCAACCATAGTTGGTACTGAGTGAAATCCAGTGACATCCAGCAAATGTTGGTGATGGGAGATTGTCTATTACACGCAAAATGCCCTGTACACCCTCAGAATTTATTCCAATTGGTAAGGAAGCTCCCAAGGAATTCACGCAGTGGAGTATCAACCAATCTTCATATTTTATCTTGCACAAAAGTGATACTTGGTAAGGAAACTGCACACGGGGAGAATGTGTTTTATAATTGACAAATAGGAGGTGATCATAAGGATTGCTGAGCAGCTCTGAATATACAACTGTCAGAACAAAGCTATAGCAAAATTTGATCAGATTGGTTAGAATCCTGTGGTTGCTTGCATAGGGTTCACATAGTTTGCCATAGCTAAATCACAAGGTGCCAGAGCACATGTCAGTCACATGCATGGCAGTATGATTGATTGCACAATGGAAACGCACCCAAGCACCTTTATGGGAACATCAATAAGTTTCTGGTCATTGAATTTAAAATGCCGACCTAACTTGGCTCAAAAGTACTCAGGGTTATAGATATCATTGGTTTTCTTAATTGCATGCTTTTGCTGTTCTATTTCTCTTCACTGATCTCTGAAACTGAATTTGACTAACTACTGAGCCAATTTGTTTCTAAATGAAACAGGGCTGTTTGTGAGAATTGCACACCGGAACAATACAACACACTATTTTTTTCTGGACTCTTTTGGCAGCTCTAAATTATTCCAAAACGTACAAGCATATTTTAGTGTGAAAAACGTTTGTTTGGCCCCTATTTTATTTTTAAATAGAAAAACCAAACTGTACAAGATGGAGGTGGATGATGTGGAAATGTGAAACCTGACTATAAAAATGGGCTCTGTTTTCCACAGTTTTAATAAATCATAACCTAATCTATTTTCTCCTGCTTAGTGTTTTTATTTGCTGTGCTAGAGACTTCGGTAGATGATGGTGCTTTTAGTGAAGTTTAGCAGGCTGCACAAAGACATTGTTTCCTAATAAGTCTATTTAATGACAAATTGTTTTGAAAGTACTAGCAATGCATTCAGTATTAATTCAAAATTGTAACACTCTGGTATATAATTTTACACCTTAATGTCACTTAGCAGAGAAGTTTAAGAAATATGGCTTGAGGATCAGAATACTGACTGCAAGTCACTGGCATTATATTTCTCGGACATCATTCGGTCTTATCAACTCTGACACATGCATTTTGCCTTTGTTTTTCTATATGTGCTCTATTATACTGGCTGCTATGTAATGTATAGGTTGTGTGTCATATATGAAGACTATGCAGCTAAAGTGGCAGATTTTACTTTCTTGAGCTCCATGATCACTGCAGCCACAAAATTAAAAGATGCCTGCTTCTTGGGAGGAAAGCAATGACAAACCTAGACAGCATCTTAAAAAGCAGAGACATTGCCTTGCTGACAAAGGTCCGCATAGTCAAAGCTATGGTTTTTCCAGTAGTCATGTATGGAAGTGAGAGCTGGACCATAAAGAAAGCTGACTGCCAAAGAACTGATGCTTTTGAATTGTAGTGCTGGAGGAGACTCTTGAGAGTCCCTGGACTGCAAAGAGAACAAACTTACCCATTTTGAAAGAAATCAACTCTGAGTGCTCGCTGGAAGGACAGATCCTGAAGCTGAGGCTCCAATACTTTAGCCATCTCATGAGAAGAGAAGACTCCCTGGAAAAGACCCTGATGTCGGGAAAGTGAGAAGGCAAGAGGAGAAGGGGGCGACAGAGGATGAGATGAGATGGCTGGACTGTGTCACTGAAGCTACCAACATGAATTTGACCCAACTCCAGGAGGCAGTGGAAGACGGGAGGGCCTGCCGTGCTCTGGTCCATGGGGTCACAAACAGACACAACTTAAGGACTAAACAACATCAACAAATACTGCTAAACCCCATTTTTTGTGAATTAGAATTAGCTTTCCACACTTTTTTAATTCCGTCTACTCGTATGCTGCCTCATCTGGTTTTATATTGTATCTATAGTAGAAGCTACACACACATTCTCTTTCAGATGCAGAATAAGAATAATTTCCAGATCAGATTTAAATGATGTCCAAGATTAGGCTGTCTTTTAAAACACAATAAAAGGAATATTTGCTAGATGGCGCTGCAGGCTAATAAATACTTCACTTTGTGAGGCACAAACATCCCAAAGCTAGATGCGCAAGCAGTAAGAAGTTCCAAAATCCATGCTATTGTAAAACTTTTAACTGGCCACCCTGACAACAATAGGTAAGAATGAGGCGTTTTATTTTACAAAATAATATCTTGGATGAGTGGAGTTTTCTCATAATGATAACACAAGAAAGCCACACAGTAATACGGATGTTGCATATGGACACAAAACATCTGTGTATCCCTTTTATTCCATCTAGACATTAAATTTTGGTGGATGTGTCTGAATTGCCTCTCCTGTATAAAACAACATTATATTGAACATACTAAGTTGAATGTACGCTGTTTAGATTGTCAGATGTAAAGGACTATGGACAGACAGATTCAAATCCCCATTCAGCTATGAAACTGGAACAGTGTGATCTAGGATTGGTCACTGTCTCCAAACTGTTGTGAATATGAAGAGAATGGTGTGTTAATCTGAGTTCTTTGAACTCAGACTATGGACCCTGCATCAGGAGGGGAAGCTTGAAACACTCTCATTGAAATATAATAGGACCAAGACTCTTATATAACTGAGTCCCCTCAGAAAGATCTATCAAAAGTACACTACATTATAAATTATCAGGTGACAAAAGGATCAGGACTGTAATTGTAGAGGTGCCCTTTCAGCAGTAAGGGCAGAAACATTACAATATCCCCCATCACACACCCTCTTCAAACCAATGTCAGTTTTTCATGCCAGTGTGGTGCTGTTTGGGACCACAACGGACAGATTCTATGCTGCCACATTAAGTGTTCTCTGAAATACAATGGAGATTCATAAGTAATAGAGTCCTTCCTCAGACTGCCAAATCTGCTCTAAACATTTTCAAAAGATTTGTGCAATGTAACCCCTAATGTTTGGCTCTCACTACAAATATGATGATGGTGTATCAGGATGGGCCATGTATGAATGCCCCAGATCATCTGCACCACCTTCTGGCTGCAACATTCACTATTTGTTTGCAAGTGCAACATTGATAACCCAAAAGAGCACAAAAATGGTACAGCAGTTTATACAGATGAAGCAGCACTACAAGACTGGCAGTTTCTTGCTAATGTTCCTACTAGAACATTTGCTTTTAAGGTGGTTCTGCTAGAGCCGTAGTTGTGTAAAGAGAACTTGCAATTAGGTATGTGCACTGTATTTGGACAAAGAGAACAAATTTAATCAATCTTTGAGTGGAACAACACCGTTGTGAATCCTTCGCATTCCATTTGGTATTCCTACGGTAAAAAAGATGGTCAAAGATTTGTCATTAGGAACAGGGGAAATCAAAATATATACAGTAGGCAAAACTGATGGCACCAAAGGCGAGTACAGTAATTGCTGAACCATCCAAAAACCAGACCTCCCTTGGATGCTTCAGCCACCAAGGCTTTAGGGAGGGCTCAGTTTGAAGCCACCAATTGGTAGAAACACAGCCTTGTAATGATGCCATTAACCACTTTGAGGAACCATAAAGTTCTAGCAACACCAGAAGGAAAGTGTTGCTGTTTAGGCAGCTTTTTATGGCCTAGAGTATTCTTTTCCTTTTTTTCTCTTACATAGCTTACTTTACTAAATTTTACTGGAATGTTTATTAGAACTGAGTTCATGTGTGTGATTGTGAAAGGATGATCACAGTAAGCAAAGCA